TCACAAAGACACTGACTTTTGATGATCTGCAGTATCTTGATATCTTGATATGCCCCTTCTATGAATACTTCTATTTACGGAAATTATATCAGATATACGTATTAATATAATGAATGGAGACACGGAAAAATATTACGTTAATTTTTTTTATTTATTCATGTGTTATCCGTTTAGAGCAATGACACCTGTCAAATATAATATATATTATGAAATAACGGTTTTATTTAACGAGTTTACTATTTTTATCACGTAAAAATACCATAACGATAATTATATTAGCATTGGTTACGTATCATAGGTTGGATTCAATAAACCATCCAATTTCTTGACTAACTGCGGGGAGGGTATTATAATAGGGGTGCTTTATATAGTTTAATTTTACCTCTTTACCTCTCTCATTATTACTTCTCTTTACCTCTTTCAAAAGGCGCTTTCATATTTGTGTTACAGTTTTTCAGGATCGTTATCTGCTTTTAGCGAAAAAATGCATATATAAGGAAATGATGGTATCACGAATTTGAAAGCGTTTTGTGATCCCATACCAACAATAAAGCATTGTACCGTATAGCATTGAATAATGTAACCTACAGAATTAATGCCATACTCTGCGACTTAATACGTAAAATACTTAAACCCTGCTTATAATCTGAACAAAACCTATGTTAAAACGGCTCGGTTTGGTTGGTTTTCAAATCGGTTAAAATCAAGTTGTCTAAAAGCTGACTCTACTTCGAGTTCACTAACATTTAATAGAGCAACGTACTAAAATTTATATATATATAGCATACATCACGTTGCATTAAATCAATGATACCTAATTGACGTTTGATTTTGTATAACTGCACATGATTAAACACTCGAGTCTGATACTGACTCAACTTCCGGAATCATCCGCCCCAACGCAAACCTTGTTATTTGTATATATTATTTTATAAGGATCTAGAATCTTTATATACATATACATAATTTAGAATAATACCCGGATCTTTTTCAATTTCTGAATCATGAACCCATGAATTGTTTTTCAAGGGGCAGGGAGTACTAGTCAGTACCGTACAGTATAATCTATGAGGAAAATAATAAATTTTAGTGTTATAATTTATGAATTTATGTTACGTATGTGCGTATCGATTTTATATTAATCATTTAATATATTTTAGAAAAATAATGCACTACAAACACTAGTCTCAGGGCACGTCCTTACGTCCGTGTTATAGCAAAATGCATTATTAAAAAATACTATTGGACAATCAGACTGCATGACATTTAAAATTTTAATATATACAGTATATTATATATATATATATATATATATATATATATATATATAGTATATATATACAGTATATATATACAGTATATATTAGTGCTCCTAAAGAGTCATTCGGGTCGGGTTTGGGGTTGAGCCCGTATTTGTTCGAACAAACTCGGGTTTTTAAATTTGTAAGAATTAATTTATACAGAATTTATATAACGTTAATGCTAAGACTAGATTTCAATCTTTTATTATTATTATTTATATAACGTAAATGGAAAGACTATATTTCAATACTATTGTAATTTAATTATTTCTATTTACTGTGTATAATGCTAATACTAAGACTATATTATAATGCTATTATTTGCACTTAATTATTACTTTTTAAGAAGTATTTTATAATTACAATAATACGAAATTTTAAAGTTTAATAATGCTTTATGCCCACCAGGATTTCAGACACATACATGCACGAATAGAGTCTGCTCCAAGACTGCACCTCTTAGCAGAAATTAAATCAGTTCCTCCAGAAAACACTCGCTCTACTGGGACGCTATTTGCAGTAATCACAAGATAATCTCTAGCCATCCTAGCCAAATTGGGATATTTAGTTTCGTGCACTTTATTGATTACCCTCCGATTAATTAATTATCTGTGATTTAATCACTTGGGGTCATGCGATGAATTTTCGAGTTTTATGTTCTGGGGTAGATTACCCGGTTTACTTGACCCCTTTCGGAGCACTACTTAGAATATATAAAATATATATATACTTTAAGCATTGTTTTGCTATGAAAGAACCCATATGCCAACTGTCTGATAATTATTTGTGACAATATATCTATTAGTTGACAATTGTTGTCGATAATATATTTTTTTGTCCTCAAATCATAAAGTAAATGAATGTAAGTACAAAAAAAAAAAAATATCAAGACAGAATATAATAAATAATTATATACAGTATCTACCAAGTGATGCGAGGAAGCGCTTGCATTAGGATGATAATTAAATATGCTATTATTTAAATTGAATGAATTCGTAATGTTAGCTGAAATAGTATTTTCAGACACGTACAATTTCTAAACATTAGTGACAAGTAAATTAGACGCGGACGTTTGTATTTAAATATATGAGGAAATTGGCAAGGCATCTGATATGATCAGATTAGTTTCGATATTCGTATACAATATCTAATTTTGATCGGAAGCTTGAGTAGGAACATCTTCATTAAGTTTGAGGCAGGATTTCACTTTGTTGTGCTACTTTTTTTGAAAATTTGAAAAAACACTAGGTTCCGTGTTTGAATGTATGGGTACGTTAATGGTACGTTTATTCATTTTTGATTTGAAACGATAGGAATTATCTCCGTAATGGATTAGAGTTTAAATCGCAACTAAATGCTTTGTTGAGAATTATTAGGTGATCATAAACCCTCCATTTCAAGTTGGTTTATTTCTTGTTTACGCTATTTTAATTCAAGCTCAATAGAGATTGTCTTTGGTATATACAGGTTGAATATAAACTCAATAGACATTGTCCCTAGTATCTTCAGTGTCCTACTTCAATTTTGTATTGATTTTCTTTTACTTTGAGCAAAGGTTTTATTCAATGAAAATTTAAAATCACATGTGCTGTTGTCGCATGATTGTATAAATATATTTCGCCCTTTTTTTGGTTTGGTTTGTTTTTATTTTTATTTTTTTTTTGAGGCTTTGTATTTAAATTCCATATTTCTTAGTATAAAAGGTGTAGCGATGGAAAATGGTGAATAATTAATCTTAATCAGCTATATCATTATTCCTTAGGAGTGAGGAATACTGCTTTGTGTACAGTATTGACTAAAATACTTTGTTATCTGTAATGTATTTATAAACCATTTAGGAAATTTGTGTGAAACGGAATTTTAGGAAGGGATAAATTTTGCAAATAAAGTTCGGCTGCAACCGGTCTTTAACCACTAAGAATTGCAGAATTCATTCTGGATTTTTCTGAACTACCAATTTTTGATCTGGTGTAACAATTATGGAATATTAACTCCACAATTTGTATATCATTTCTCGTAAGAATGAAAAAAAAGCGCGGACATAAAGAACATTGTAACATTGCTAAATTACATTTAAATTAATCCGGAGTATGATTCCGAACTAAAAATTGAACTTATAAAAACTGTACATTATGTTCTGTTTTATTTTACGTTTCGAAAATAAATTTTACAGAGACAAAATATAAAATTATAAAATAAGCCCTTGAAAGAAAAGACAAAACACCCAAAAATATATATATTTTTATAAAATAAATAAATTTTACACGAATACGGTCGACACTGTCTAATTACTTGTCATCCTTCAGAATTTTTTTCGAGCATTTAATAGTATACACATATAGGATCAATTTTTTGTTAATAATAAATTTTTTAAGTATTTAGAGAATGTTAAAATGAACAGTAGACTGTAATGAATTTTCACATATCGTCGTTTTAGACTTCATATGATAAAGTTTTTTAGAATCCAACATTCCAGATGTTGGTATTAGATTCTCTGCATTATTCAATATAGAATATTGAGAAAAAAAAACGGGTATTACTACATGCATATTAAAATAGGTGTAAAGTATACATTTCCATTGTTATTACTTACGTCTAAAAGTAAAATTATTTGGCTTTGAACAATTTACTGCCTACATTCTTTCGGCGGTATTATAAACACCAAATATTTGATAGGGCATTTCGTCCGAGTTGCCGCTTACATTATCGAATGAAGAGATGTTATCAAAATATAAATAAATTGGCGCGTAATTTGTGTTATCTATTAAGAATACGAAGTCGTTAATAAAATACAGAAATATTAAGCCAAGCACAACAAATATAATGTATATACCATGTGATGTGGCCAATTCACTTGTATGAAGATAAGGAGTAGATATGTTATGATTTGAATTGTATGAATCTATAGAGTTAATTGGAATAGTATATTTAGCTACATGTAGGTATAACAAATTCTAAAAATTAATAACTTCAAATTAAATATATTAGACAAACTTTTATTTGGTAAGGTGTTCGATGCAATTGGATTTGTTCCGTGATTCATTTGTGATGTAATGTCAACATATTTTTTGCCGGAAGGTTGCGTAAGTATATTTTCTTTAAACTCATGAGCAGTTTTAGATGGGCTCATATATAATGCTGCATTAACATCTTGAGTTGCTGGAGGTGATGTTTGTAAGGGATCACTAGGTGCTGTGTTTGAATGAGAATATTTATCACTAGGTACTGTGTTTGAACGGATGGTTTTTTTTGAGGTAGTTCCATTCTTTTGTTTTGTGTTATACGTTGAGTGTCGTCGTTGCGGTTTAGGAGGCGTTTGAAACACTTGAATCTCGAGCTCTTTTTCAAGATAGTGCTGTTGAAGCTTGAACTTTTGTTCAAGATTGTGAAGTTGAAGCTTGAACTCTTGCTCAAGATTGTGCAGTTGAAGCTTG